CATTTTACTGCGTTTTCTTCTTCGTCGGACGATGTTTCGAGAACGGATACAATGACTTTGCCACAATCTCCCTTGACCAGCAATAATGGACAGTCCAGGAAGATGCTACTGAGCTCCTCTCAACAGTAGCGCGGCAAGGATGGGGTTTCTAGGAACAAATTTTGTCGCCACGAGTTATCTCCTATAGTTCACAAGGCGTTATATGGCATTGCATATCCGAGATCGCAAAGCCTATTCACCGCCATTACCTTTCCAATACGGGCGATAGCCATTCCCATATACAGGACATGAAAGCTGGGTTACGCATTCAACGTGCACCTCCGCAGAAAGTCGAACATTTGCTGTCACGCCGCGGCGAAAACGACCTAGTTAATTAATAATATTGGGCTTGTCAGTCTGTGGCACAGGCTATGCTGGTAGAAGACTCCTGTCGACGGGATCTGACCTTGGGAAAGGACAAACTGCTAGCTATCGCCGGTGTGGCAGCACAGATGCACCATATGTATGGAGGTCTTTACGTTGCAGGCTTATGGTCAGATACCATAATCAGCGATTTGACGTGGAAAAGAGATGACACGCCGGGCCTCACATCGTATAGTAAGCCTGTAGGCTCTTTAGATGTGCCTACGTGGTCTTGGGCATGTACCTCCTGTCCAATCAGATCCAATACAATCCACCTGTTTGACTTTGATGCTCGCCTACTGGAATGCGGAATTCGGCCCAAATTCAAAAACGCACCTTTCGGAGATATAGAGGGCAGGAGTTTGGTCCTATCGGCGAAGATGGTCAAGGTTGAGAGGTCTCTTCGTTTTGACGATTGGTCGTGCAGCATTGTTTTGGACAAAGAATCATGCGATCAAGAGATACCTTATCCCAAAGACCATTCCCAGCTACTAAAGTTACTTGACCGAGAACGTGAGGAGAGATGGTGCATGCTGTTGGGACACCGGAAGCTATCCAAGTTCGAGAAGATGCCACGCCGACCCGTTGGCTTGATTCTCGCAAAATCAAAAGATTGTTTCGAAAGAGTGGGTTTATTTGAAGGCGAGTGGACAGGGCCTAATCCAGCCTCTGGTAAGGCTAACTTCGTAAGTCCCTGAAGACGAATCGGTTTTTGTCAAATGTCAAAAGAACTCGAGTTGAGATTTTCCAAGTACTAATCCTCGACTAGACGCTACAATTTGCATTAGTCTCTACAAGCACGTCGCCAGATGAAGACACGAAGATGATCGCCCAGGACGTCGCCATCAGTATTCTCAATTATGCAGAACCACATGAATCATGATATGGCCTGGTCCCACCTTTTGATAGGTTGCGAACAGTCACTGTCTAAGATAGATAGATAGGTAGAGAAGAGAAAATTGATCTAAAAGGATGTGAATACAGGCTTTGTGTATTGGAGAGGTAGAGAGGATCTGATCGCGAAGGACCTGAAATTCATTCAATGTGTCTCCGTTCGAGGCATGAATTTGGGTATCTTACATTCCGAAATTGTGGACGGATAAGTGTATATTTTATAGAGCGTCTCCTGAAGTTGTAGCAAATGAACGTCGAGGCAAAATCTCAGTTTTTTGGGCAAAACACAGATCGAATTAATACTTTTAAACTTAGTACAGCTAGTTTAATACAATTATTTAAATAAAATAATATAATTAAAGCCCTGCATTTTTTAATATATTAAAATTTAATTACAGATTTAAAATATTAATTTACGTAATATAAATACGATGTGTAATTTTATATAAAAAAAAAATTTATTATTAATAAATTATTTAATTTTGATTTAACGTTATATAATTTTAAATAAATTATTAATAAATTGTTTTAAATATTCATTATTAACGAACCGTTTTTAAACCTCGGCCTTTTTTTATAAAATAAATAAAATAGTTTTAATTATACCGAATCTTTAACCACCCACAAGAAATACTAATTCGAATGCGAACTCACCTCACACCTATAAATATTATAGGATGCAGTACACACACACATTCTAATAGCCCTGTCCTCATCATCGGTGCCGGTATCTCTGGACTTGCACTTGCTCAGGGACTCCGCCTCCGATCGATCTCATTCCGCGTCTTTGAGCGACATGCTCAAAGCTACAACTCTCAAGGCCATCACTTCCGCATTTCCCCGGAAAGTGTGGCAGCACTTGACTACATCCTCTTGCCCCAATGCAAAGACCTCTTCAAGCGTACAGCGGCCGAGGGGGGACGTTTCCAGCCACGATATGTGGACGCCAAAGAGTTCGAATTTGAGAAACCAACCCCTTTCTCAAAGCCACCTAGCATGCCCATCGACCGGACATGGCTGCGACGCTTGATGTTGCTCGGGATAGAAGATACGATTGAGTACGAGAAAGAATTCGTCTCTTATGAAATCCGGGGCAACGAGGTTCATGTTTCTTTCGCTGATAGATCCTCAGCCCAGGGTCGATTCCTGGTGGGAGCCGATGGCATCAAGAGTCGTGTTCGGAAGCAGTTCCAGCCTGATCGCAAACTTCTTGATCTTGAGCGTTGGATCATGTGGGGCAGGACATTACTGACACAAAGCCTTCGGGAGCGTTTGTCTGAGGATCATTTAACGTGGTTTATGGCTCTTGATGAAGAGGCCAATGTCCAAGTTGTCGCTGAACCAATGATATGGACCGAAAGCGTGAGGAAGGAATCGAGCAACACACTACCAGACTATCAAGACTACATGTACTGGGCGCTGTGCACAACACCGGGTCCAGGCCTACCAAAAACAGCGGAACAGAGAATGGAATTTCTGCAAAGAGTCACAAGCACATGGGATCCAGTTCTCAAAATAATACTCAGTGAGGCCGCTCACCACCTTTCGGCTTGTGTTCCTGTCCTTTCCAGCAAACCAGACATTAAGATTCAATCATCACAGCAAGAAGCCCAAGTGACTCTTCTTGGGGACTCGTCTCATGCGATGAGTCCCATGGGCGGATCTGGTGGGGATACGGCTATCTTGAATGCGGTAGACTTGGCGCAAACAATTAGCCAATATAGAATCACCCAAGAAAACATATATCAATTCCAAAAAAAAAAAAAAATTGACGAAAGAAACGAAGGAGAAGATCGAGCATTCTTTCAAAAGCAGGCAGAAGTTTTGGAGAGGGAAAAAATAGTTCTAGTACCAAGAAATTAATATTTGAGGGCTACAACAACTAGATTTTTATTAGAAAATACACTAAAACAATTTAGGTACTCGACGAGAGGGTCAATATTTACGAGCACTAAATTCAATGACTATAACATTGATAGCTAGACTTAAAATAATTATTCACAATTGTTTTAATCTCACAAACTAACTTAGTAAATAACTCGGTTAAGTTCAAATTTTTGCATCGCAGCTTATTTCTAGCTACTACTTGGGTTATCATTCATTATATTCAAACTAGATCCAAACCTCGGTCTTTCTTCTTCCTCACTTTACCCGGCTCTTCCAGATGTACCACGGAGCCTTTTCTAGATAATAGTCCACTCCCAGACCCGTTCCATGGTTTTGCTAGTTCAAAATGCCCAATTTCTGGCCGTACCTGACCTGCATTACTCGATGAGCTATGGCTGAAACGAAAAGCACTATTACTCTGCCAGCGCTATAGTAATGTTGCAAAAGTCATTGTGTGCTAGATTCCAATTCAAGAGAATTCGCGGCTGCGACAAAGTACTATAAGTATAGTGCGTGCCGTTCGGAATGAAAGCTCAAAAGTATATTTCCCTCAGCTCTCGACCGATTAGTTCTAATGGATTACTACCAGGAGCAACCGTGCGATCTTTCCAAATATGTCGGACCTTCTGAACACCAAATCGATATCTTTGAAGACTTTCTTTCGGCTATATACGCTCGGCCCTATACCCTTAGCAGTGTGAAAGACTTGAAAAACTTGACGGAGATTGCGGACTATTACTGCGCTCTACCTGCCCTCTCTCGCTCTCTAGATGGCGCGTTGGTGAAGAGTTCACACTTTGCCCGTTTCATGCGTTACAGTGCTGTGTCACTATTTCAGGTTGCTGCTAAGCTCAGGCACTCACTACTGTTCCGAGAGGCCCTGATCCGGGTCATAGGTCCAAACAATAATCCCAGTATCTCGAGATAACCGACCAGAAACTGAGCACAATTGCTGAATGTGCCCAGGCTAGAGTACTTCGGAAGGTCTCGGATCTCTGTCAAATATTGATTCGCCAGCTTGGAAGAGAGTCCCAGCTAGGATTTCGATCGCGGGAATTGAAAGAGCAGTGTCTTGACGGTCTCGAGTATTGCGATCCGGATGGTGAGGAGGATGGTATAAATGAGGAAATGGAGGATGAAAACGTGATTCAATATCTGTGGTACTTTCGGAGAATTGATGATGCTCTATCTTCATCCATCAGCGATTAGCGATTAGCGCTTAGAGGAAATCTTAAGTAGCAATCTGGTGCTTGATCAGACTACCAGATCTAGCGATGAGAACTACTTGACCCGAGACCATTTCCTCTGTGCTAAGATAAAGGATGACGAGCTACCTTGGGATGTCAAAGAGATCGATTGATAGAGGATCAGTATGCATTTGGTGTTGGTTCTATAATAGGTTGGCGCGGGAAATATTCAAGTTGGTGGGCATATGGAGCATTTGCAATAGCTACAAATCAACATGCATCTCCGCAATTGTTACAGCTGAGTCCTGAATATGAAGAGCCCTTCGATTTCATAAGTTTATATTATCGAAAAGGTACAAATATGATATCTACATAGTATTGGGACATTGAAAAGCACCCTTATTCTCATCCAGCACTTGCAGTAGCCTCTCGTTCGAAGCAGATGCTCTGCTGTAGCACCAATTCACCTCCAAAAGGACTAGTTAGCCTGGCAAGCACGGAGCCTTATTTTAGACCGGGTCGTGCAATTTCCACCACCTCTCTCTTTCAACTCTACACAATTGAATTTCGAGAGACCAGACTCGCCCATCAACAACTAGTCAAGCACTCATTATCCTTGACACCATCGAACATATCGAGCAGCATGACCATCAGCGCAATGGCGCCACCACCAGCCAAGAAGCAAAAGACCGACGACATCAAGTCCCCAATCGTGTTTCCTTGCCCCGGTCAAAAGCCCGATGTCCGCCTCATTGTCTTCGACCAAGAGTTCCACATCAATTCCACCCTGCTCAAGCTGAACTCTGCCTTCTTCCGCAAGTTTCTCGATTCCACTAATAAGACTGTTGTCGCCATCGATCCTACCTCTAGCAGTTCGACTTTGACTCGGCCGGAGACATCTCAGATCGGGTTTGGCTCGGTTTCGACTTTCGAGTACGAGTGGGTTACGAAGATTGATGAGGGAGGGGAGAAGTGGTTTCTAGTAGAAGACAATTTAAAGGTAAGTAGTCTATTTCTAAATGTTGCTCTATTGGCGGTTCTCTCATTCTGCCTTTAGATCCGTCGATGAAAGTCCTAAGGGTAGCTCAAATCATGAATACGAACGGCATGATCCGAAGTCCCGGACGATATCGTAGTCTCGATCTGGTGCTAACTGATAGCTGCAGAACTAATTATATAACCTTTTGGACTTCAAAGGCCATGTTTTTGCAGAGACTATCGCATTCGAAAAGCTGATGTGCGCAATCTATACTCGACCATATCAACTTATCAATACTAAAGAATTGTTGCTCATGACCGCTCTAGCCGATTACTATTGCGCACTTCCGATTCTCACCCGAATTCTCGATGGCGCCTTCATCAATAGTCCACAATTTTGTAAGGGCATCGGCTCCCACGCCAGTGAGCTCTTCGTTGCGGCTGCCAAAATCAGAAACGCCCTTTTGTTCCGCGAATGTCTCATTTGGGTTGTAATTTCTTACAGAGATCGAGAATTTGAAAGTCTTGAAGATAAGAGGCTTCGAATGATAGTAAGGTGCGCTCACGGCGAGGTTTCTACTCGATTAACGGGTGCTACAGCAGTGGTACTCACCAAGACTGCTGATACTTAGGCTAGTATGGACAATACTAACACTAAACTCGTGTTTGATAATCTGGACAGGTGGAATCTAGATTTTGATGAATGAGTCATGGATTTTCCTCGATGGCTCAGAATTTTTAAGGGCACAGATCTGCTATACGAGAGTGACAAGGTCTTGCTTGAAAGCAAGCTAGCTTTGGACAGTGGGGTTCATCAGGCTGGACAAGAAAAGAACAAGGATCATTTCTTTTGCGCAAAGATCAACGATGAGGATTTACCATGGGATATTAATGAAACAGACTGGTAACTTTTCACCGATGCGTCCAATATCCCAAACCTACCGGTCCTCTCTTGACTTGACTTTTCAAGTCCAGGAGCCATAATCGACCAAGCCTGCTGACATTGCCGGGCTTGAGCGCCTTGGATGGTCAGATGCTGGAAGGTTGGAGGCTTCGGTAGTCTCGGTGAGTACTTCAGAAGTGCATCAACAGCACATTTTCTGACTTCAGTCCCAGGTTCTCTATCATCAATCGCTCTTTTTCATACATCTTGGAGACCTTCAACAACAGGGTCTGCATAGGGAGTGGGAGTAGCCAAAAATAATGAGCACGAACACATTTCTTTCTGAAAAACTTTCAGAAATTTGCAGCTGGCAAACATGCTGGTTGACTCACAGGATACTAGGCTCAGTCAGGAGTGGACAAATGAAGGTAGCGTAGAAGCTTTTTGAAAATTAAAGCACTTATAAGATACTTCTCCCTCGTGAATTCTTGAATTCTGCTTTTTGCTTGTAATTTCTCATGATACTGAAGCCTTGACTCCAACCTGGCATCCGAGGCATGAGTTGAAAGCCTAGAAGCCCGAACCTCCCAACCTAGGTTTAATAGCCTGACCCCTTGACATACTTCAACACAAGAAGCCGATTACATTACGAGACATGCGCCGCATATATGCGAGAAGCATCGAACATTATGCAAGGGAAGGTCCCGACAACACTTCGAAAGTTGTCGAGTTGCATTCTATAATATTATAAAAAAATAAAAGTCAAAAATAAGAACATGTTTGCATCTTAGAAGGATGTTATATTATTAGAGCTGTTGTCCTTTTATCCCCTTTAATTTTACAATAAATTCTTTTTTATATACTTATCTTTTTTGCTCATTCCTATATCCTAAACCTTTCCTAATCTCTCTCCTGTCTTTTCTATAGCTATACCGCTATCTCAGCCAATGCTTATTAAACCTACAAGTGTTAGATGGAATCTCCACTTTTATTTATATTTAGGTCTAGTTCCAGGGGCACGCTAATTCCTAACCTCATATATCCTCACTCTCCCTACTGTATTTTAGACCTCAGACTTCCCAAACCTCACAATACGATTCTATTTGCCCAACTTGCTTTACCTACGTGCTGTACCTTGCCAGAGTCCATCTGATAACACGGATACACAACCTCGGATCCCACGCCATCGCCCCATCACTTCCTGTCAGAGTTCGTGAATAATGATTTTGTTGTAGTCTGCACTGTCGTATGTGAAGTAGGCTCTTGGATTTTAGAACATTGTATGACTTACACGTCGAATGAAGGCGGGAGGACGCTATTTGCCTTGTGTCGCAATCCAGCCACCATGAGTATCCATGTTCCTCTTTCGGTGATGAGCTGTTGTATCATTGGTCTTGAGAACATGGCACAGAGGATGGGAGTAATGATCTGCACAATAATCATCAAGAGTATGAAAGCCAGTAAGCGAACATCCGGCAGGCGAATGAATCAAAGAAGAATTGGATTTGGCCGCACGAAGTTGCCCTTCCATAGTAGGAGGACTAATCCTGGGCGTACCCAGAAATGAGATCTTCTGGATGTTCTGCCAATCTTTCGATCTTATCTCTCTAGTCTCTCGAGCATGGAGGCGCGATTGGTTGGAGTGGACGTGGACATGCATGGGGAGCATGTTGGAGCCGCTTTTAGCTCCTCCGAGGACTGCTTCCGCCAGCCTCATTCTTTGAATCCGTCAAATTATCACGCAAACTACATTTTGACTATCTGAATCCCGCCAAGAAGTTATATTGAGTATTCTGAATCACTCGCCACAGAAACTTACACCTGTTTCACCCTGCTGCACTCCACGCTCATGCGCTAGGGCCAAATGGAAACCTACGAACGCGAACAGAACGCCTGGCTCCAGGAAGATGGGAGACTCGCAGAGTTCCTTGCAGCAAACCCTACAGCTCTCTTCTTCCGCTTAATGTGGATTGACTACTTTGGAATCACCAGGGCGCGAATGCTTCCCAGGTCTCACCTATCCGACTTACAGCGAAGTAACAGCCCCCTATCAGTCTCTCCCGGAGCTCTCAACGCCCCATATGTTCCAGAGAGCGGGAGATTGCCACGACCAGGAGCTGCCAAGGTCCATCCCGACTGGGATTCTCTTCGACTGTGCAAGTTTGCTCCCAGCCACGCACAGATGATATGCTATATTAGCGAAGAGTACGACGGCTCCTTCTTTGAGAATGATCCTAGGACCATTCTTCAAAAATCAATCATACGCGCAGAGTCTTACAATTCGCGAAAAGTACTCGTGGGCTTTGAAACGGAGTTCTTCCTTTTGAATCCATCCACTACGCTGCCAACACCTATTCAGAACGGGAACAATTGCTGGAGTATGGCTGGACTGAGAGGGAAGCATTTAGCTGCGCTGGAGCAAATGGTTAGGGTTTTGGAGCAATCGGGTATCCCAGTTCAACAATTTCATACCGAGAATACAAATGGGTTCTTCGAAATTGCTACTTCACCAATGAGTCCTATGGAAGCAGTAGATGCCTTGATCTACACACACGAGACCATTAAAACAATCGCAGTTGCACATGGATTTCAAGCCACTGTCTTTCCCCAACCAAGTGACGTGGAAGTCTTCGCAGGCATGCATGCTCATGTCTCAATCACGCCTGCAGATGATGAAGACGCTTTTCTAGCTGGCATGCTCCAACTTCTGCCCGAAATCATGGTCTTGGGAATGTCGAATTACGATAGTCATGTCCGGTTGAGAGAACTTTCGCAGACGACTGGTGAATGGGTTAGTTGGGGGACAGAATTCAGAGACGTTCCCGTGAGAAAAATATCTTCAGGTCATTGGGAAATTCGATGTATCGATGGGACGGCAAATATGTATCTCGTCTTGGGAGCAATTTTGGGTGCCGGATGTAAAGGTTTGGAGGAGAAAGCTCGCTTAAAGTGGAAGGACTGTCAGAGCTCTCCTGGGTTGATGACTGAGGAAACCAGACTGGATTATGGTGTTGCTACTAGGCTACCCAAATCGATGAAGGATGGCTTGGAGACTCTCAAGAACGGGGCTGATGGGCTACAGAAGATATGTAGCAGAGGGTTTATCGATAAATGGACACATTTCAAGGGAAAGGAAGAAGAGGCATGCTCTCAGATGACCAAAGCTGATAGGAGAGCAGTCTTTCTAACTATATACTAAACGTCCTGATGAGAATTAGATGTTACACGTTGCTTCGAGTATTCGCTACTATAGATCTTTTCAACAGAGAAATACTTATTTTATTATATCATGAGCTAGCTGACTCGGTTTCGTGATGTCTCTATTCTGATGGATGACCTAAGATAACCTTCGAGAAATAACCATTTTGAGCCTGTGACATGGGGAAGACTTGACTAAGCCAACTTCTCGCAGGGCTTTGAGTGATGTGTCGACTCAGATTCGGACCCTGAAAAGGACAGTTGTGCTATGCCTCCGACTTCAGCTTGTAAATGCAGACCTACTGAATCTCACACCAGATGACATAGAAACATCATTGATCGCTCGTCAAACAAGACTGCGTTAATCTATGAACACATCACTTCTTCGCCTGTCAATAATGACATTGAGTAAAGACATTAAATGGAAAAATAATTCTCCTTTAAACGCATTGCAATATCATCAAAATCCCTAGCGCATAAGCCTACAACTTAAATTGATATCCCATCTTATTTACTTCCGCAGAATACCCTACAAAGCCGCTACTTCACCTTCAGGTCGACGAAAAGCAACCATCCGCAACTCAATGCTCTGCCTCGGCACCTCACTCTGTATCCCTGAATCAAACGCAGAATGAAACGCATCTCATCCCAGTCAGTCAATACACAGCATTTACACTAATCCAGACAGCGAACACTTACACGATTTCCTTGAATCCGTACTCGCATTACGAAACAGTATAGCTTCTTCAACGTTCTGATCACTGACAAAAAACCACTTGTGGCGTGGGCACGCAAATAGAAGTTCATTTTCACCCACCGTTTCGGGACTTAGCATATCGTTTGGTATGGTGTCGTTCTCAGGGTCGATAGGTGTAGTCGCATATGCCGAGTGGCCAGTCATTGTTGGGTCCTGACAGAACTCGCCAGATACTGATGACAAGGTTAACCATGTACTTCTTTGCAGAATTTCTTTTGAGAGAAGATATAGGGAACCTTGGATATACAGACTTCAAAAAATCCATGTCTTTATTGATGTACTCATTTACTTTATTAGGAAAGCTCAGCTTCATGCGAAGAACCAGTCCTCGTGTCGTAAAGTCGTGGTGTACCAGTCTCGCTGGCTGGTTATATGTGTTCTCTACTGCTTCTGGGTACCCGACATCGCGCTTTCGAAGCTATAGAGAAATTAATCAACATATATTGGACTACACAAGGAAAATTTCATTCTATGAGAGCAGTACCTGATGCTCGAGGACCACGACCTTGGAATATTCTGGGAAGCGTTCCAAGACAAGAGCCTCCATCTGCTGATAGTAGGCCAAAACGTCCGATTCGTTATAGCTTAGGGACTCGAACGTAGCTAAGATTGGAGAGTTGAGTAGACAGAACCCGTTCTTCTCGAGTCTGAAGTTGTCTTTGTTTGGGCGAGCGTCCTTGATGAGAATGTCTTTAACTTCGAAGATATGATTGCCGGTTTTTTCCGGGGCTGAAAAGTCTGCTGCATATGGCTTTTCAGTTTCGTAAAGCACGTCTCGTGCTATGTGTGTGATCTGGACTGCTCTGGTATTGGGATGTGAGGTTTCCATGGTTTTGGGGATGTTAATGAATCTGGAGACCTGATTGTGAAGGTTCTTCGGCCAGTGCAAGGGTAGTGCAGCTGAGAGAAAATAGAAATGGCGAGAAAGCCAGGTGTCTGGCACGGGATTAAGATGCCGATTATCATATATATGCTTCACAATACCATCTAGCTTCTTATGGTAAAAATTGCGTTGATCTACAACCCCGCAAGAGCATTCATATTTAGCTGTACAGGAGCGTGAAGACACCAAACCTCAAAATGAACCCGTACAAAGTAGCGAAAAAGGTGTTACAATAATACGAGGACCTTCGAGTCTCAATCAAAGCAAGGTCGTTCAATTTTTGCTTATTGAAAGGTAACCGCAAATAAACGCCATTCCTCATATCTCAAAACTACTCTCCCTGCATTAAAAGAGCGTCATATCCAGCGCACCATTCCTCCTTATAACCCATCATCACAATCCCCAAACACAATCCCATTCACTTTCCAACATTCGAACTCTACACACTCAATTCCACTTGCCTAATCACCGACCCCACCGCGAAATTGCCATTTGTAGCTGGAGCTGCTCGATTAGTAGTTGGAGCAGCGCTATTGGTAGCTAGAGCAGCGCCGTTGGTAAATGGCGCAGTTTTATCAGATGGAAGGTGCGTATGTCACGGGAACCTTATGGGCAGAAAAAAGTAGTATTAATAAG